AAGCTCCCCTTGTTTCTGATCAATTATTTACGTCGCCCGTGTCCCCGTACAGTGTTATGATATGCAGCACATCAAAGAGCGTCGATGCGACTCGCTGCTGCCCCTGATGAGCCCGCGGTTTTGATAAAACATTCCGTTGAGGTATCAAACGCTCAAAGAGTTCAAAAACTCGACACTCTGATTTAAACTGCTGTTTTGTGGTTTTCCCGCTAAATAAAGACGTAACGCATACATTTACCTGTGTGACCCTGGTGGAGTCTCACTGATTTGTGCTCCTGAACGGCGCGCCGGTAAGTTCATCTTTTTTAGTAAACATTGAACATCATATAAGTGCATTACAGCTGAGAGAAGCACAGCATTGTTTCTTTTATCCAAACGAAGTCAACAATGAAATGCAATGTTATTTTTCCACATAATGTTTTAAAGAAAGGTGCTTCAGTTTATTTGGCTAGTTGGCTAGTGTGAAAGCGGTTTTACAAACTCTGATCAGCATATCAGAATGATTTCTGAAGGATCACTGAAGAGTAATGATGTTAAAAATTCAGCTTTGCATCACAGGAATAAACTGTGTTTTACAGTATATTCGAATAGAAAATAGTTATTTTAAATAGTAAAAAAATATTTAACAAAATTACAGTTTTTACTGTAGCCTATTTTTGGTTGAATAAATGCAGTTTTTGGAATATGGTACTTTTTATAAAACAATTTAATAAAAAAAGGAATAACTGAAGAACTAAACTGCTACTGATTAATTGCTAATAATAAATTGTATAATTAGCATTTTAAAACACAAAACAAATCTCAGAGTTACGAATGATCTGAACTGTGACAAACAGAAAGTAAGTGTAAATAAATAAAGTCAAAATAAATGTTATTTATTTTAATGTTTTTCAAAATGTTATTTATTTAAAATAAGTAACGTAAATCAACGCGATCTCATGGCCAATTCGTACGTATTTTATGTGGCTAATTTGTACGAGTTCATATGACTTCACTCGTAAAACCTCACTTGTATGATTTTGTATGATTTCAGTAACTGTTAAGTTTAGGGACGGGGTTAGGTGTGGTCCTTCATACGAGTTCCTACGAATTTGCCACCTAATAAAATACATACGATTTTTCACAAATCATATGAATTTGTAGGAGTGTGGTTGTACGAATTCATACGAATTAGCCACCTTGTCAAATATTGCAGTGAGATTGGGTTTGTATAAATATATTGCCATATTTATTAGTTAAATACATTTATCTTGTTATTGTTGTTTTTTAAATTTATTTTGTAGGAATTGAGATACTTGTTTTTATGACAGCATAACATAATAAAATCAAATATTTTTATAATGTTATAATATTTTCAATTAATTTCTATATTTATTCTATATTCTGTTGGCTAAAAAAATGAGGATATAAATTAGACTAGCAGCATTTGCACAGACAAATTTACACTAAATACCACCATTAAAATACCATAATTTATATTACTAAACATATTCAATAACAGCGTTTTTAATGTTAATTTTATTTACTACTTCACAAAACATTATTTTGTGGGTGTTTTAGGGGAGTTTGTCTGATTATTGCACCAATCTGTAGTTTTGGTAGCAAAATCAAAGAGATGAAAACAAGCGAAGCAAACAACACTTTCCGTTTTTTTGGCATCTCCTCATCTGGAGTTGTTACCTTGGTAAACAGCTGCTGCTAGCAGGAAATAATACAGTATGAAAATGAGATGCACTGTTCAAGCTGAGCAATCAACAACACAAAGTAGACAGAAAAAGGCCAAACATGAAGAAAGCGTTCAAGGCTCCTGCTGTGCCCTTTACTGTCCCGCTCTGAAGGTGTTCGGCCCACCGTTAACATCCCATAATCCCCCTGGTTCCTCAATAACGCAGCGCAACGACTGGTGCAGTAAATCACGGGCTGGTGCAGGGTCAGTCAGCCGAGTTGATTGTGTTCGGTCACCGCAGGCCTTGACTGAGATCTCATGAAACTCATTCTCAATATTGTTGTGACCGAAGCAGGCAAAGATCCTCCTGTTTTCTCTTCATTATAGCAGAAGGTCGTGGAACGGCGAAGCGGCCTCATAAAACAAGCACACACATACGACGAATGAAATCACCTCAATGTCATATCTTGATGGCAATGTCAGAGAGATTGTGAGAGGAATCATAAACTATAGGGAGAAACAGAGGTACAAAGCTTCCAAATGCTCAACAAGATATTTAAAGTGACAGCACACCCCAAAATGAAATTGTCTCATCATATAGGCCAGGGGTGTCCAAACTCGGTCCTGGAGGGCCGGTGTCCTGAAGAGTTTAGCTCCAACCCCAATTAAACACACCTGAACCAGCTAATCAAGCTCTTACTAGGCATACTATAAACTTAAAGGCAGGTGTGTTGAGGCAAGTTGGAGCTAAACTCTGCCCTCCAGGACCGAGTTTGGGCACCCCTGATATAGGCCTACTCACCCTCATTTCACTTGAAATCTGTACGATGAACTGTTCGCTATATTCAATGCAGTGTCAGCTTAGTATCATTGAGATACTATAGTTTTAGTCATATTCTGAATTTGAATTTGTTTTGAATTACATTTTCTGTTTTCATTTTAATTCTAGTTCTCAATTTTCATTAAAGGGGTGGTTGACTGTTTTTTTTTTTTTCCTAGGCTTGATTGTGTTTATGGGGTGCAGTCTAATATGTGTTAATGTTTTGTTTGAAAAAAAAAAAACGCATTATTTTTCACATAATTTATTCCACACTGCTCTGTCCCTTCTCCTTAGGGGTTATGAAGCCCCTCCCTCAGATATATGCAATGTGCTCAGATTGGTTAGCTGGTCCAGTGTGTTATGATTGGCTAAACCGACAATAGTCTAAGCGTCCCGCCCCTCACCTCAGCGGCATGTGCTCCGGTTGTATTGTAAACAATGGCGTCGTCTATATTGCTTATCAATTTGAGCCCGATTGAGATGCAGAGAATATTAGTGAAGAGGATCGTGCAGAACCTGTGCAAGCACGGCTTTTAATGGTATGTTTTTTTGTTTGTTGTTGTCTCATACGTTTAGATACGTTGTTATTTGTAAATGCTACTGCTTATGTTAGCTTTTAATATACGGCCTCACCCCCTTTGCTGCCTTTTCCCGAGGGCGGGGTTTATATGGGTTTGTGATGTCACGAACCTAGGGAGTAACTTGTTGTAGTCCCTACCAGTCGTTTTTGTAGGCATAGTTTTTGTAGAACATTGATTTTGAAACGTGTGAATCCATTAGAATCGTTAGAAGACAGAATCGTGATTCATATATGAATATATTTTTTCGTGCACCCCTAGTTTTCTCTTCCTCTTCTCTAAAGCAGCACAACATGGCCTCGCCCCTTTTGCTGCCTTTTCCCGAGGGCAGGGTTTATATGGGTTTGTGATGTCACGAACCTGGGGAGTAACTTGTTGTAGTCCCTACCAGTCGTTTTTGTAGGCATTAAATTTGTAGAACATTGATTTTAATTCTCTCCTCACCAGATATTTTTATGCGGTGCGAGTGGTTGAGACGCAGATGCTATCTTCACACCGCTGAGATGCGCTGATGATATCTGAGCTAGGTCACATTCCCCTTCAGGCGCAATCCATTTTCCCTCCAAAAGGTGAACGCGGTGCGTCGTGGGACGACGCGCTGCATTAGAGGAGTTTAGGAGGCGTCGCGACTCTCTTTCCCCTGCGAGGTTTGCGTCTTTCAGGAAATTACCCAGCAATATGCCGCATAAATGCTGAGGCGCGCCAGTGTTTCCTGCGTCATGACGGGGCTCGGGCTTCAGATGTGCTCTTTACGCTCGGATGTGTCGGCCTGCTGAGACGCTGTCAGAGGAAACCGCCCATCTGTCTCTCAGGAGTCCCGCTGTGCGTTTCTGATCTGAGTGTGGGCTGGCGCTCGTGAATAAGACAACAGATTCAGCTCAGCATAAGGTGTGAGAAAACTGTGATGCATCATTTCCACAGTGTCAGCCGAGGAAAGCCTTGTGGGTTTTCCTCTCCTTTTCTCTCGTTCTTTCTCTCTATCCGTCTCGCTATCTGTGAGTTGCTGCTACACGCGACACACTTTTTTGGAAATTAATATTAGCTGGTTCAGTCCCAACATCTACAGTACCAGGATGATCAAGATGAAATAAGGGTGGACAATGATCCCAAAAACAGCCAAGGAAACTCTCGATTGGTTTCAGAGAAAGAAAATAAAGCTGCTAGAATGGCCCAGCCGATCACCTGACCTGAATCCAATAGAAAATAAGAACTACAGATCAGAGTTCATAGAAGAGGCCCACAGAACCTTCGAGATTTGAAGACTGTTCGTGTGGAAGAATGGGCCAAAATCACACCTGAGCAATGCATGCGACTAGTTTCTCCATACAGGCGGCGTCTTGAAGCTGTCATTAATAACAAAGGCTTTTGTACAAAGTACTAAATACATTTCAGTAGTTCAATACTTTTTCCCTGTGTCATTCCATTTTATTACACATAACTTATTTGTTTTGTTTTATTTGTATGTATGGATTACTTGGGTTGTTACTGACATCTGGTGAAAATTTCATGTTATCTATCTATCTATCTATCTATCTATCTATGTCACGGCGGGGTACAGAAAACTCACCATGTAAACAAGGGGTCTGGGTCCAAATGCAGGTTTATTTGACTGCAGGGGAAAAACAAAGTCAAAACCAAAACAGAAAACACAAACAGAGCTAAGACTCTGACACACAGGCTCAGAACAGAAACGGAATCTGACACAATACGGCCACTTCTGGCTTGCATCAGTCCATGTACCAACAATTAATAATCCGCCCAGAGAGGCGTGGGGAAGGCGTATAAATAGCCCTCAGGATGGGCAACAGCTGTGTGTGTGTGAGTGTATGCACAGGTGTGTGGAGTCAAGGTAACGGAGTCCGGGAGGATGGGAAGTGGCGACCTCTGGTGGTGAGAGGGAGAACACCAGACCCAGACCCCTGACAGGACCCCTCCTCTAAGGAACGGCTTCCAGACGTTCCCGAGCGCCCAACCCGGGGAACGGGGATGGAGTAGGGGGAGGGATGGGGGGCCCAGGTCCGTGTGGTAGCGGGGGACCTGGGGACTGGGGCAGAGCCGGTGGGATGGGCACCCAGGGCAGAACCAGCGGCCACCACAGCGGTGTGTGTGGAGCTGCCGCCTTGAAAAAAACGGAGGCGAGTTCCACCGCCGCCTCGGGGTAACTGCGAGCGGACACCGCCGCCTCGGGGGAACTGCGAGCGGACACCGCTGCCTTGGGGAAACTGAGAGCGGGCACCGCCGCTTCCGGAGCTTTGTGAGCGGACACCGCTGCCTCGGGGAAACT